GTATATGCCCAAGAGTGGTATAGCTGGGTCTTGAGGAAGATTGAATCCCAATTTTCTGAGAAACCGCCATACTGATTTCCAAAGTAGCTGTACAAGTTTGCACTCCCACCAACAGTGAAGGAGTGTTCCACTTCTCTGCATTCTCTCCAACCTAAGTTGTCATCAGTGTTTTTGATCTTAGCCATTCTGACAGGTGTAAGATGGTCTCTCAGAATTGTTTTTATTTGCATTTTTCTGATGACTAAGTATGTTGAGCAATTCCTTAAATGTCTTTCAGCCATTTGAGATTCTTCTGTTGAGAATTCTCTGTTTAGCTCTTTTTGGAGCCTAGTGTCTATGGTGGGACACTTTGCACAGCCTTGGTGCAGAGAAGAGGGGCCTGGACCTGCCTCAACTGAATGTACCAGGCTCTGCTGACTCCCCATGGGAGACCTTACCTTGAAGGAGATGGGAATGGGGGGTGGGTTTGGGGGGATGGCTGGGGGCAGAAGGAGGGAGGACAGGAGAATCTGTGGTTGGTATGTAAAATGAATAGAAAATCTCAATTAAAAAAAAGAAAGGAAGGAAGGATGGATGGATGGATGAATGGACAGACTAGTCTGATCTTTCTTTGAACAAGTACTTATGATTCTACTTTCAGGAATATCAGTATTGTAAATAAAAATAATCTCCAAAATTAAAAAAAAATGAAAATGACAAAATAAAAACCCTTCCTCTAGACAGATGTGCATAATATGCCTTCAATTTGAGTTAAAGGTTGTTGACCTGCTGGCAGTAATTAACAAATTTATTTACTGATCATTTGAATCAAGTCTTTGGTCTTTTCCAAGTGTATTTGAACTCTGTAACAGGTGTCTCCAAGGCAATCCAGGCTTCACCTTCACAGCTCCACACAATGACCTCTCTGGGCCTCCATGCAGGGACACCACTGACACATGCCTTAGTGGCTCTCCTTAGCCATGGTTGAAGATTCTACAACCCCTTTCTTGTATTCTTGACTCTAGAGATCAAGCCGTGTGAGTGATGCTACCAAATTCTGCTGCTTGATGGGGTTGGCACTTGGGTCCCTTCTTTCAATTCTGTTTGCATCAGCTTTCTGTTGTTGATAGTTTCTTTCACTGCTTAAGGTTTTCTTTAATCCCTTTTCACGAGT